CCCCGCCCCTCCCCCTGGTGTCCTTCTTCCCTCTGTCCCTCCCCCTGCCCCCCAGTGCCTCACCTTCCAATGTCCCCGTTAATCCCCTCACCCCTCTCCTGTCAGAGTCTACCTTCCTCCCATTTCACCACTCTGCACAGAACAGCGCACCCCTCTCTCTGTGACCTGGGTCCTTTCAATAAAGGGTGGGCGTGTATGTCATGTGTTTCCCTTTGTGGCTTGTGGTGCACATGAACCTCTGGACTTGATGTCCACACAGCAGATACACCAGTCCCCTCCATCCTGTGAACCCCAGAATGGCTTTTCCCACAAGGGAGGCAGGCGGGAGCCAGAGTTCTCTTTTACATCCTGTGCAGCACATAGCAAAACACATATCTGGGTTGGGTTGAAGGCACAACCTGGGACTGGGGCACCAGGTGGGGATCTAGAGGACTGAAAAGCTGGGGTAGGGCGTGACAGAGCAAGGGGAAGCACTAGGGGAGAGAGTGGAGGCTCTGTCTGTGAAAAGCCAAGACAGGGCCACCAACCAGGGTGAGACCCAAGGACAGGGCACTGGGGGAAAGGTGGTGAACTAGCTAATGGGGCTCTAGGAGGTGAGCACAGAAGTGGAAGCTGCCTGACTGGAGGGGACAAGAGTAGCACAGTGTGGTGACAGAGGGGAAGGACGGGAGTGTTCACCCATTCCTTTTTTTTTTTTTTTCTTTTGGTAGTGGAGATCGAACTTGGGACCTTGTACTTGCGTGCCAGAGGCAGGTCGGGGAACCAATGAGCTAAATCCCACACCCATTCACTTTAGTCTTCTGCAGCACGTATTCCTTGTAAGGATCAGTGATGTTTACATCGCTGTCAGGGTAAAAGACCAAAATCTTTAAAGTAGATATCCCCCCAAAGCCTCATGCACTTATAGGTGGGGCTTTTGGAAGGCAATCAGGTTACCGGTTTTATAGCTGACTTAATGCTAGGAAGTGAGGTCTTGCCAGAAGAGGGTCATGAAGGGCATGACCTGGACAAGTTTATCTCCCTCCCTGACCCCTTCCTTTGCTCTTTCTCTCTCTCTCTGCTTCCTGTCTGCCAGGCCATAAGCAGCCCCCCTCTGCCATGCCCCTCTGCCATGCTGTCCTGCCTTAGAACCAGCCGACTACAGGCTGAAATGTGAGCCACCTCACTCCTTTAAATCACAGGTATTGGGTATTGTGTCCCTGCAACAAGGAAAGTGATTTAGACAGTGGCTTTTAAGGCCAGGCCTTATGTATCCCACCAATGTCCTTGTTCCCTCTTGACTCAGGACCTTTGCACAGACTGTTCCATATGCCTGAACTCCTGGGATTGCTCCCACCTCTTTCCACGCCTCATTGCAGTTAGCTCTGGGTCCCTTCTCTAAGGAAACCTCTGACCGAGATTCCTCTCTATGCCGTCTCACATTACTGTGGTTTATAACTATGTGTACGTGCAATTATTCAATTATCTCACCGATCAGACTGTTCTCTGATAGCAAATGCCTTGCTCCTAGTGCCCTTCAGTCCCTTTGCCCCAAAGTGCCCGGGACACTAAATGAACAGGAAAATAAAGGACTGAACAAGCCCCAAAGAGAAGAATGGGGGTTGAAAGTGCCCAATATTCTTAAAAAACAATTGGAGTTCGCAGAGGAGCTCGAAGATGCTAGAACAGTGATCCTGATGAGAGTAAAATAAGCTGAGAGCTCAGGAGGGAGAAGCAGTGAGAGAGAAGGACAATCATCTTTTGCAGTCTACAGCTAATGTACTGACTGAGCATTTATTATGTATCAGGTGCCACAGAAGATGCTAGACTTAAAGATCTCATTCCTTCCTTCACACAGAACTTATTAGGAGAATTAGAGCACCCAAAATACGCACAATTAAAGACAAAATGTGGTAGTGCTGTGAGCAATAGAGGCATGGACTTCAGGCTTTTCTTTATTTTTATTTTTGGGTTTTTGTTTGCTTTTTGTTGTTGTTTTTTTGTATACAGGGGGCATAGTTTCTCACTATGGTTCTCACTATGTAGTGAGACTGACCTGGAACTCACTATGTAGCCCAGGCTGGTCTCAAACGAACAGTGATCCTCCTGCCTCAGTCTCCCGAATGCTGGGATTACAGGTGTGTGCCACCACTTTATTTTTATATGACTGGGGATTTAACCCAGGAGCTTCACACTGGCTACATCCTAGCCTTTTGTCTTTTTTTTTTTGGTACCATGGATCAAACTCTGGTCCTCGTACTTGCAAGGCAGGCGCCGGAACCACTGAGCTAAATCCCTGGCCCAATTTTTTTTTTTTTAATTTAAAGGGCTGGGGATATAGCTCAGTGAAAAGACCCCTGTACAAAAACAAAGACAAAGACAAACACACAAACAAACCCCAAGGGCTGGGGATTTAGCTCCAGTGGTTCTGGCACCTGCCTCACAACGGCAAGGATCCGCATTTGATCCCTGGTACCAAAAAATAAATAATAATAAAAAAAAACACAACAACAACAAAAATCCTGATGAACGGGTCACATCTTGTATTAGTGTACTAACCACCTCTCCTACACTGTGTCATGTATTTTATCCCACAGTGGGCTCACCATTTCAGAGGGTTCAGTCCGTGACTGACTAGTTCCAAGGCAGAAACATCATACCAGAGAGACACAGCAAAGGAAGCTGTGTCCCCCTTCATGGTGGCCAGGAAGCCGAGACAAAGGCGCCTGGTTCCAGGGACCCCTTTCACAGGCTCCCCCAGGGGCCCTTTTCATCTATTGGGCCCTACCTCCTAATCAGTCCAGTGAGGTAGGTATCATCATAAGTTAGTCCACTTGACAAAGTTACAGCCCTCAGGATCTATGCAGTTTTTCAACTCCCATTGGCTGGCAGCCAAGCCTTCATTACTGTAAGACTTTTGGAGGCCTTTAGGATCCCACCCATAGCCCACCCCACATAACTGGGGCTGGGTGCTGGCAATATTCTGCTTTGAAGATTCCTAGGAGACTCCAGTGTGCAGCAAAGCTTGGGAATTACTGATATATATAATAAAATTTATCATTTTAACCTTTTTTTTTTCAATCTGGGGATGGAACTCAGGACCTTGCATTTTCGAGGCAGGCTCAGTGCCACTGAGCTAAGTCCCCAGCATCATTTTAACCATTTTTATTTTTGTTTTTTGGTACCAGGGATTGAACCTGTGTCCTTGCACTTGCAAGGCAGGTGGCGGAACCATTGAGCTAAATCCCTGGTCCTCATTTTAACTATTTTTAAGGATATAGTTCAGTAGTATTAAGTATTCTCTGTGTGTGTGTGTGTGTGTGTGTGTGTGTGTGTGTGTGTGTGATGGGGATGAGCCCACGGCCTCACACGTACCAGGCAAGGGTTCTACCCCTGAGCTACACCTCCGCCTTGGCATTAAGTGCATTTACATTGCTAGGCACCCATCGCCACACTGGACTTGCAGAAGTGTTCACCATCCCAAACAGAAAACCCACACCCACTAAATAAGAACTCTATTACCTCCACCACTGTCCCCTGACAGCCAGCATTTTGCTTTCTGTCTCTATCAGTCTTCATGTTCTAGGTATCTAAGCGCAGTCATTCCCAATGTGTCATTTTGTCTGGCTTACTTCACTTAGCATGATGTCTTCAAAGTTCAGCCATGTTGTGATGTGTATTGGAATCTTATTCCTCTTTGAGGCTGAATAATATTCTAATTCATAAACTTACCATGTGTTCCTCAAGGATTCATCCATTGGTGAGCATCTGGGTCGCCTCCATCTTTTGGCTCTTGTGAATAATGTTGCTATGAACAGTGATGCACACACCTGTTCAAGTCTCTCCTCAATTCTCTTGGGTGTAAACCCAAAGAGTGCACATGGTACTTCTGTGCTGCGTTTCCTCAGGAACCACTGCACTGCTCTCCACAGTGGCTGTGCCTCTGCAGTCACACACAAGGCTTCCACTCCTCCACTTCCTCACCGATGTCTATTTGCTTGCTTTAAAGTGGTCACTTCGGGGCTGGGGATTTAGCTCAGTGGATCCGCTGCCTGGCTCGCAAGCCCAAGGTCTTGAGTTCAGTCCCCGGTGCCATAAAAAATAAAATAAAATAAAAGTCATTCCAATGAGTAAGGAGTGTTTGGAGTGTGCATTTCTCTGATTATTACTGGGGCTGAACATCTCTTCAAGCACTTTTTTCTGGCCATTTGCACATCTTCTTGGAGGAAATGTCTGTTCCAGTCCTTTGCCTTTTAATTGTGGGTGTGAGAAGGTCCCACTATGTTACCCAGGCTGGTCTCAAATACTGGGACTCCAGTAATCCTCCCACCTCAACTCCTGAGTGGCTGAGACCACAGCCCTATACCACCATGCCCAGCAGTGCACCATTTTCTGCTTTTTTTGTTTTCGTTTCTTTGTTTGTAGACAAGGTCTTACTACACATTCCAGGATGACTTTAAGCTCACAATATAGCCTAGCCTAGGCCTGCCTTAACCAGCCCAGCCTCCAAGTGCTGTGATTCCAGGTGTGCACCACCACACCTGGCCCAGCAACCCCCCCCTTTTTAGATGGGGTCTTGCTAAGAAGTTCAGGCTAGCTTTGAACTCATTATGTTGCCCAGGCTGGCCTCAACCTGCCTGGGCAATCGCCCAAGTGCTGAGATTACAGTCGTGCACCACCATGCCCCGCTTTTACTCATTCATTTGAGAAAAGTCCTTGCTAGGTAGCTCAGGCTCCTCCTGCCTCATCCTCCCTGATACTGGGATTTTAGCATGTGCCATTGCATTTTTACACTTAATCTTAACCACAAGGCCGAGAAGCAATGTGCCACTGCTTTTTTAAACACCACCAACAACAAAAACCAAAACAAAACCACCCACCCCAAAACACCCATGAAGAAAACAATTAAAAGAATATTAAAATATAATCAATTTCGCCATATAGCTCAATGATAGTGCTTACTTGCTTAGAATGCACAAGATCCCAGTGCATCAATTCCCAAGTCAAAAGAAAAAAGCAATCAATTAACTAAATGCTATAGAGAATGCTTTTTGTTTCATTCTCTCTTTTTGCTATTTGAATTTTCCAAATTTTCACATCAAATGACTGTTTTTATAATTAGAGAAATTATTAAAATGTTTATTGCTGTTGGTTGAGAGTATTAGCAGAGTTTTAAGAAGG